CTCAGAAAGGGTTGTCCGAATAGAAATCCATTTTGATGTATTCAGTCAATTATATCTTTGGTTATTCTTTATGAAACTAGTTGAAATTTTGTAATTATGTTTGGTTATGAGAACTATAGCTCTGACAAAAATATGGAATCGAAATAAAATATATTACAGGAGATATTCAGTTGTTTTAATCATAAAATGGATTTCTATTTGACAACTAGTGCCAGTACTTTTCCGCGTATCAAGATCATCTGGATATATATGTATATATATATATATATATGTATATATATATATATATATATATATATATGTATATATATATATGTATATGTATATATATATATGTATATATATATATATATATATATATATATATATATATATATATATATATATATATATATATATATATATATATATATATATATATATATATTTCGAAAACTCATTCATAATTCAGTTCACAATCTCGTTCCCAGAGTATGCCTGTTCGCGGGTTAGGTTGTGGCATGACTCTGGGGAAATCGAATTTTTTTTATCCAAAATGAGATAAATGGCGCATGCGCTTTTATTGCTTTTGTTTATTCCGCTTACTAAATTCGCGCGGGCACACGCTCACGATCGATATTGTTTTAAACAAAGATTCTCATCAGAATATAGTATACAAAATGGGTTTTTATACGTTTAAAGGTGCTTTAAATCGTACTACTATTAAATTATATTCAATGGCAAATACTGAAAGAGCTATGAAAGTTGTTCTAGCGAAAAGAGGGCTTGAATATTCGTTAAAAGACGAGACATTCAAATGTATCTCGGCCATAATGTAAAATGGTGAAGATGTTTTGGTTGTTTTGCCAACAGGTTATGGGCTTATTATGGTAAATATTAAAATATTTCAGCTGCTACCTGACGTGTACAACGTGTTACTTGGCGTAACTAATTCTATCGTGATAGTAATATCTTCACATGAATGACCAACGCATTTCTGCATGCATGATGTCAAAGTATGATAAAAGGCCATTCTGTGGTACACTATATTATGGTGATGGCAGCGATATCAAATTACCATGGATCGACATGAGAACCTGACGTATAAGCTGTTCTATATGCACCCAGAAATGTGTGTCTGTGACAAGAAAATACAAGCTTTTTTGAACTGTATACTGTAAACCTCTGAATATAATGCTCACCTCATTCCAAATATAAGCCCCCCCCAAATATAAGCCCCCCTGAATATAAGTCCCTGAATATAAGCCCCCTGAATATAAGCCCAGTATCCCACTATGTTATTTAACATTGACATTGTCTTTTAATATAGCAGAGAACGATATTTGAAACACTGTCATTGTCTTTATAGCTTACTATGTTAATGGAGTGTGTTATTAATACATGTTTATTTTCCTGTTTATGACTGACTTGTTTATTACTAACACAATTGATCGTCCATGTATAAGGCCCCTGTGCATATAAGCCCCCCCCCCCTAAGCCCATCAAAAATCACTTACAAAAGAATATAAGCCCAGGGCTTATAGTCAGAGGTTTACGGTATTATATATCCCATATTTTAACAATAAACACATTATTTTTTATATTATATTACATTAACATATATACATGGATCACATATAAAGTCTTTAAATGACAGTACATTGTGTTTGTAATTATAATTACCATAATTACTTGTGTCGAAAGTAAGAAATGAAGTGAACAAATCCATATATATTTGTTGAAAATTTCTTGCAGTGGGTATCTTCCATTTGTTTTTCATGCTTCACACTGTGTATCTTTGAACATTTAATCAGCAACTAATTATAGGCAAGAATATATTTACTAGCTCATTTCTCCATATTACCAGGTACATAACATGCAAATTATACATCAACCTTGCAATCCAGGCTTTAACCCCTGCAGTTGCCACTCTCCTGCAGCATGTTTGGGAAGGGAGAGGAAGGAATGGAGGTACTGTAATTTCTATATTTAGCCCCCTTCTCTTCAAGCCCCGCTCCAATAACCCCCCGCTCATTTGGATACAAAAATAAAAAATAAATAAGCCCCCCCCCCTCATTTGGATACAAAAATAAAAAATAAATAAGCCCCCCCCCTTATTTGGATACAAAAATCAAAAATAAATAAGCCCCCCTCCTCTTTTAACCATGCAGCCCTCATTCAATTTCTTAAAATCATGAAATATATTGCATTTCTGCAGTATTTTAATAAAATATAGTACAACGGTAACTCTGAATATGGACATTTTTAATGGTAACCAGACTTATTGCATATATTTAGAACAAGTGCCCCCTCAATGATGCTTAGGAAACAATACACAGGAGGCTTGATAGTTGATACAGAAATTAAAGTAGTTATTTGATTGAAACTGGTAGCTATTTCAATTCTACTGTCAGTATCTCCTTTTATATATAATTGGCAATATATTCACATAGTATATAATAGTTTGGAAATGGAATCAATACTTGTATATTTTTAGCAAATGAGCATTGTTATTGATCAACAATGACTCTTATTGCTATAAACATCATTGTTTCACATAGCAACAGACAAGGAAACATCTGTATTTAAATTCACTACTTATTTTTTATCCAGACACAAATTGATGTAAAAATTGTTTCAGGTTTGGCTTAGTTATAGCCTTACATCGGGCTATTCCATTTAATATCCATACACCCCCCCCCCTGTTGAGGATCCCTGGAATTCTTCAGGGATAAAGGGTTTTGAGCTTGGAATTCTTCAGGGGTAAAGTGTTTTGAGCTTGGAATTCTTCAGGGATAAAGTGTTTCGAGTTTGGAATTCTTCTGGGGTAAAGGGTTTTGAGCTTGGAATTCTTCAGGGGTAAAGGGTTTTGAGCTTGGAATTCTTCAGGGATAACAGGTTTTGAGCTTGGAATTTTGGAATTCTTTGAACAGGGGTCAAAGGTTTTGAGCTTGGAATTCTTCAGGGGTAAAGGGTTTTGAGCTTGGAATTTTGGAATTCTTCCTTTGAGTTTGAAATTCTTCAGGGGTATAACCATGAAAAACATGTATCCTCGACAGGGGGTGTACGGATATTAAATGGAATAGCCCATCATGCTGTCAAGTGGCAATCACTTACAAAGCAAATCTATAACCAAATGTTTTACAACCTGAGGAACTTCTTAAATCAATTGTTCTATAATTTATACAGATGCTACAAAAACACCTGGCATCTTAAATTTATATAGATAACTCCATTTACAAAAGCACAAAGACCACAGGCTACAACATATTGAGTGTTGACCATTGACCATAATGTACTGTATTGTTTAAAGCTTCAAGTTTTTAACACAAGCAAAAGTTGTCACTCCAAAGTCCTGGCAACAATATGTCAATTTAACAAAACGACAACGTGTGCGATGATTTCATTTAGCCAATTCTTTCATGGTTTATATAATGAATATACTCGTACTGTAGATCGATAAAAAGTCATTCATATTAATACCATGCCATTTTGTAAGTATATACCCAACGTCCCAATACTTTTTCATACGATTAATATCATATCCTTCGATTTATATCGTTTGATTTCGCATTCCAAATCTGATAAACATTGATAATTCTCTCTTCGCGTATGTCCACGCGCAATTCTCGCAAAAAACACGCATGAATTGTGTCGGCAGCATTGATGATCACGGCAGCCAATCAAATAACGATTTAGATTCGATTTCCCCAGAGTCATGCCACAACCTAACCCGCGAACAGGCATACTCTGGGAACGAGATTGCGGTCTATGGGGTTCCTTAGCAAGGCAAAATATAGCCTGCGTGCAGGCCCAAGGGAACTGATAGTGGGCCAATCTCGTTCCCCGAGCATGCCCGTTCGCAGGTTAAGGCCCTTAACCTGCGAACGGGCATGCTCGGGGAACGAGATTGATAGTGGGCCTGCAACCATCACCCCATGTTTTCGATTTTCGCCGGCCGAACCGCCGGCTAAATTCCCATTGGCTAGCTGAGGCGATCGGTAATTCATTAACCTAGCGTGCAGGCCCAAGGGAACAGTGATTCATCACAAAGGCATAGACAAAGGCTCTCGATAAGCTTAAAATTTGAAAATTGATTACTTTTCGATTACAAATGGAACAAGAACAGACTGTTTATTGTTTACTTGAAGGAAGACATGTTTTTGCCGTTATGCCAATGGGGATTGCTTGTCGTGAGGTGTTGGAATAGCAAATTACGACTGGGGTAAACTATAGTAACCTTTACTTGAGTTTCATTAATTTCAAACAGACTTCAGTTGATACGTTATGTGTTCTCACTTCCTCAAGAAAATTATCTTTTGGTTGATGTTGAGATGCAGTTGCATGTAAGGACTGTAAGCCTATTCGAAACACTTTGCGATTTACAAGGCTTCGCTGAGAGAGCGAAACAGAAGGCGGTATTAAATTGCCGTTTGAAACGAAACGATCTGGACTCGGAACGCTCTCTTCTTTTGTAGAGTTCTTTACCAAATGAAATAAATGAAATACTTTCCGCCGCCAACAAGAATTGCACACACGATCTGATAAGTGAGACAATTTATTTATAACAATGCCAATGGCGACAGCGAAGCACACATAATATAAATCCTAATGTGGTCGCACGACTTCCCTCATGATTTGAAGTTTGAGACTGGTTTTCTGTTGAAATTCGTCCTAATTTGCCTGTTCCGATTTTAGTTGAAAATGAGCACTTGCAAATTTGGCAATTACTGACTGCGTTGCTTGCTTTTTTGGAGTTAAAACGCAGCCATTTACACATTGTTTATTAGTGTTCTGAATAA